ATTAAAAAGAACAAAAAAAATAATAAAAAATTCAAAAAAAAAAACAAAAAAAGAAGTCGAATTGCCAATTCCAGTTCCGGTTCGGAACCAACTCAGACAGTTCAAAAAGTGCATATATGAGGCCCGTTGACCACGGGCTGGTTCGGGCCGATTCCACCCGTGACCATGTCTAATACTTAGTTAGACGAGTACCAAAGATTTGTCCCATATGTGGGCTTTCACATAATATACCCGAGACGAGCACCAGAGATTAGTCAATATGTCTGCGGGTATAAAAGTCAAATATTTGTGCTTTCAGTGTGGGGATCTGCGTGTACTTAACTATTTATTACTATGCACAGAAAAACAGACAGATACCTCCTCTGGAAAGATTGAAAAAAAGATAGAAAGATTGAATAATCAAATTTTGAGTTGCAGGCTGCAGCTAAAATAATTTACCAGCTTCAGAATAGAGTGAAGTGGCCAAATTGAATACACTCAGAAAAAATAGGGGAAAAAAGATCAAGGAAATCCCATTTCAAAATTTTGTTATCAAAATCATAGGGAAATAGAGCAAATTCGAACTCTACCGACAAAGGGCATTGCACTCATTGGGTCGTGTATTGATCCAATGGTCAAAAAACCTACATATCTAAAAATTCAATGAATCACATCAAGATTACAGAATTAGTATAACCATCTATATTACATGGAAAATTCTCAGTCACAAGATTATTACATTAGCTCCTTTCGTCTCTCTACTCATTGTTCGATTCCTATTCTCCGTTTTGTACAGCTATACAAATATCACCAATAAACCTTAATGCTACAGGGGGGGAATAAAAGAGAGGAAACCAAAAGCTCAAAATACTCGATCCCTATGAAGCCCCACAAGATAGGCATGTACCGGGAAGNACTACTACAATGGTAATCAGGAAAAAAGCTCGAAAATGAAATCAAGACTATCAATGGTTAATACAAAGATTTACCAAACCAAACCAGGATTACCCAAAATAAGTGCACGTTCTGAAAGCTGATTAATGCAGTTTGTTTTGCCAAGGGAAGCATGATTCTCACTGGAAATATTGAACATTAATCTGGGTTGGGTGTTGCAATCAGCTTGTCGTACTTGGTCCTAAAACGAAGGCCCAAACCAATATGTCCTGACGTCGGCCAGAACCAGCAGAGAATTTTCGGACCAAGAATCTGTAGTGTAGTTGAAAGACCCAATTATGAATCAGATATGCGAAAAAAATAAAAAGTAAATAAATAAACTAACAGAAATTTAATCCAAAACCAGAGTGAAAAATAAATAAATAAATAAAAATGGAACACTAACATCTATCAAATTCTCAAATGGACCAAGATCATAAGGATGAGAATAGAGTTGGCCTCCTTTTTCGGCCAGCCACATAGCTCTTACACCTTCATGGTACTGCCATATAGATAAATGACATTCAATTTTAATAAATATCTTTGTTTCGGCAATTGGAACATGAAAAATGGACAAGCATTAAGAACCTCAATGGTGGTCTTGTTCTGTACAATGAGATATACATGCCAGCAAAGGAAAAATCCCAGTGCCAAACTTAAAGGAACCAATAATAACCCTGAAATAACCTGGAGAAATCCTTTAGTGAGCTAAAGTGCTAATCAACAAAGAGTGTAATACCAGTTAACGATGAAAAACAGGAAAAAGAAGGAGAGAGAGAATATACATGTATGATTTGGTCAGAATCTTCAGCATCTTGCTGAGAATCAACTGTTACACTACCAAGAAGCAATACCTGATATATACATATACATATGTGAATTTTCTTCATTGACACAAACGAAAGAAAAACAGAAAAAAATTAACATCTTGGAAGACGATCCGGAATAACCATACCAGAGAGTAAATGCACGAGATAACCGCATAAAGCACGAAAACAAAGAAGATTTTATAATTTGCGTGCCCCACACAGTTATTCATCCAGACACAATGATGATCCTTGCATCATGAGACAACAATTTTAACAACATTATCCAAAAAATTTCGAGAAAAACAAAAACAAGGAATTTAAGATGGATCAGTCATACCATTCGCAGTACACATCGATTACATATGCGGCAATGATGGGCCCGAGGAGGCTTATAGAGTGCACACTTTTGGCAGTACCTTAAATCACCACTCT